CACACCAAATTGTTACTTTTGGGATAGCTCTATTTAACGAGTTCCAGAGAACTCTAGAACTTGTTAAATTTTCTCGGGAAATGTATCTTTAACTTAATCGATATCTAACTAGACATAGTTACCAAATTGTTTGCCAAAGTGATATTGAGTACCTACAACATGAAGTTGCATGCATTTGTAAAAATACCAAGATTCCGATATTGATTTTTTATTGCTAAAACTTCAAGTTTTAAGGGCCCCATACACTACGTTCTTTCTCGTCGGTTTTCATCGCCGCGATGAAACACGTCGTTTAAAACCGAAGTGTGTGGTAGAAAAACACGACGGTTTTCTACCACAGACTTCGGTTTTGGAACGACGTGTGTTTCATCGTGGCGATGAAAACCGTCAACCGTCGAGAAAGAACGTAGTGTATGGGGCCCTTTAGGGACGATGTCTATTGGTACATGGATACCTTTAACATGATTCTTTTTTTTGACGTTGTGATATACAGGGTGTTCCATTAGAAATAGTCGAGAATTTCGATGTTGAAAAACGGATCTTTTTTAATTGCCCTATATAACTTTCAAAAAAATTTGCAATCTAGTTAAAAATACTTAAGGCTAAGAGAAATCGAACAAACCACAGGTAGCTAGCACACCTGGTTCAAAAGTTAAAAGCATTTAAAATGGGTCACTTTCGGCTGGGGGTTTTCTATGAATATGTACGTATAAGAACTTAAGTTCGAGACGAAATAATTTCTTACTTTTGAAAATTATTTTTAATATGTAGATACAAGCCATTCCATATAACAAGTCCATAACATATCAAGGATTTCACCACCTCAGAATATAAAATTTTGTATCCATTTTCGAATGTCGCCAGTTCGTCTAGATAAACGTCATGGGGGCCCCATAGTCCCATGTTATTTATTGGAGATGTGGAATTTGAATTATTTATATGAAATCTATCCTTGACTTGTTCTGAATCTAGTCTGGTAGCTACTTTAAAAGAAATATATTCTATCAAATCACAGCCTCTGTATTTGATAGCATTTATCACATAATACACAAACATAACATAATTCTCCCTCCTGGTGCAACGCATCTGAAAATCGAACGTTTCTAACATATCTCTGTATGAGACCATGTACGGGTATCCCTTATATTTCTCCTGAGTAGTCCTGAGATACAAAAAGCGCTTCTGTAACTTTTCAATGGTGCCTGAGTGTGAGTACCTATATGGTACAATATTGTACAGCTTGACAATTGTGCTAATTTAAAAATTGTTGCTGTTGCGAGTATAAACCCCACAGCATGATATGCTTTGCTGACAATCTCATTATAGTGACAGGTAAATCTGATATATGTCCAAAATATGTAACTCCTAAATCTTTGACAACATTATTCATCTCAATCTTTAGTATCCTCAATGTAATAGTTATCAATAAAGTAATTTAATTTACGTGTAGGTATACTATATAAATTACTACTGCACATTTTTAGACATTGAGAGACATTTTACAATTCTCAAACCACTCAACTATCAACTTCAAGTAAGTTTGCAATTTGACAAAATCCTCCTAACAGCTATGGTTTTGAACAGCTTGAAATCGTCTGCATATATCAAGCCAGATGAATTTATAGTCAGGCAAGTCGTTGATAAACAATATAAAAAGCAATGGCCCAAGTTTACTACCCTGTGGAACTCTGGAATTATATATTTACTAGAGAAACAATCACCTATATTAACACTATTCCTTCTCCCCATTAAATACCCCTTACAAAACCATGCTGAAACGTGCTGATTTTATGTTCTATACATTCATATATTCACTGATAAAACATGTTTCCCAAGATTTTGGCTAAACTGTTTAAGAAACTAATAGGCTTATAATTTAGAATGTCATTCTTTGCATATTTTTTATGAATTGGGGAAATAGTTGACAATTTTAACACATCTGGAAAGCATTCCCGCTCAACCGACATGCTAACACACCATACACAGACGCAAAATACTCAGCAAAAGCATTTGTAATATGAAGAGGTCTATCAAACTTATTGTTATTTGGTTTCATTTGCACTAGAATACCAGCCCTCTTGCATTTTGATTTGAAGAAAGTCCAGAATTTGCTATTTTCAATTGAGATTCTATACAAACTGTACTCAGATTTAGTTTGCCTTTTAATTTCAGTTTTCAAGAGCTGATACTCCATAGCTTCCGGACTCTCAGTTGTACCCCTTTGATACTTATGATGAAGCTTATTTTTTCTCTTAATCTTGGACCAAATCTGAGGAAAACCAGTGAGGAAACTTGGCACGAGTATTGGGTTTTATTTTTGTTTTTGGAATAGAGATACCCAGGATTTCTTACGTTTCTATAAAATGCATCAAAACCTACACTGACATCTTGACACAAAAATACTGAAGACCAGTCACATTCTGAGATCAACTTATATAAAAAAGATAGTTATCTTGACCATAGTTGGTATGTGCACTTTTATTGACCAACTCAGTAGGTATGTGTCTCCTTCATCCTAATATCCACATTAAGATTGAGGGCTGGGTGATAGGTAGGTACCTACATATCTTCAGGGACCAACGGACCATCACACCTAGTGACATTGAATATACCTCCATGTTTGTAAGGAAAGGTCCAAAAATCTATTCATACTATTAGGAACACTATTAACCTAACTTAGGCTATATACAGTGCCCGCGGAAAAGTCTGCACCATATGGCAAATTTTTTTATGCTCATCCTTACTTCAAATCGGTTTTCGGCATTAGGTTCTGCATGACTGAAAACCAAAAAAATACCTAAAATTTTTGACTCGAGTCGCACAGTGTTGCACTCAATGGACAAAATTCAAAAATGTTTGAATTTATTTTTGGATAATTAAATATGGCTAACTGTGAAGAAATGCCTGGTGATGACAAGTATATTATTGTTAACTTTTTTTGTTCACGAGTTCCCAAAAAACAGAGATAAACAAAACGAAAAAGAATTTTGTGCATCTGTTGGAAGGTTATTATAAAATTAAATTTTGAAAAGGCCGTAATATTGTTTTGAGGTAATTATTTTTTTAATACATTAGGAGGGTTATGGACAACATTATAGAGGGTAAGTACTCAGTTACACTATTTGCCTTTTGCAGATAATTAATTAAAATATCTAAAATATTTTTATTAAATTTCAACTAAGGATTTAAAAAATATATAAAATTATAGTCCTATAAATTTTTGAATTTGAACTCTGCAAACCCTCTACTTTAAAATGACAGTTATTATTTTTTGCGGATTTTTGCGTTTTTTTTTTATTTTCAGAAAAAATCGTTGCTATTCCTAATAGTATTTTATACCAACCATTTGGGTTGTCCACTAAAATGTTTATGCATAAATAAAAACATTCGCATTAATTAATTCAACTTTGTATTCAAGATATGAATTTTGTCCCAATTCCCCTATGAGACGCAACACTGTGAGTCGCCTCAAATGCCAATTGAAAATTTCAAACAAGGAAAAGTGTCATTTTCAAAATAGTCCAGAGGCGTATCAAAATTTTAATAGAAATATTTCTTTTTGATGTTTAAACTCTTAATTAGATTATTGAGATTTGAAAAACCATTAGTCAGATACAAACTAATTATTTTAGAGGAATGGTCGCGAAAGAAATCCTAAAAATATTATTTTTCCGTAGATATTCGAAAAAAATTTAAAAAAAAAAGCTTTTTTTTTTCAAAGTAAAAATATCAAATTAGACTAAAAATGTCATTTGGAACAATATTTTCTTATAAATTTTTTTTATATTTTTTATAAAAATGCCACTTTTTCTTGTTTCAAATTTTCAAATGGCATTTGACAGGTGTGAGGTAAGTCTCGAGTCAAAAATTTTAGGTGTTTTTTTGGTTTTCAGTCATGCAGTACCTAATACCGAAAACTGATTTGAAGTAAGGATGAGCATAAAAAAATGTCCCATATGGTGCAGACTTTTCCGCGGGCACTGTATATTACGAAACCGCCGCATCAAGACATTTTTCTCACACTCCCTATGATTAAAGTTATCAAAATGAGGCAAGTTGAAACCTCCTAGCAATATAACATTTGAATTCTTCAACAATAATAAATCCTCAAATAAGTTGAAATACTTTTTATACAATTAAACATCTGAATTTGGTACAAAATAAACAGACAGGTACAAGCTAAAAATTTTAAAATTTACTTTGAGTATCAGACAATCACTATTGCAGTCAGCATTTACTATTTCGCAGTGTTAATTCCTTTTTGATCGCAATAAGGACTCCTACTCCTCTCTGTCTATGGTCTGATCTGTCTTTTCGAATCACGGTGTATCTGGCATCAAAAATCTCAGAATCGAAGATAACTCCATATAGCCATATCTCAGTAAGGGCAATTAATTACAGCATAATTTTCAGACAAGGCTTCAGTATAATATAGTGTTTATTTTTGGTCCCAAGCCACGGACATTTTGATAATATACCTATTGTTATTCATCGGTGGCACCCTCTTCTTGGTGAAAAACTGGGATATAACAGCACCATTGGGACAGACTTCTTTATTACAAGCCCTTCTGAAGTTTTCCTGATTTATTGTCACCTTCATTGATGCATAAAAATCTGGGTGTGTGAAGCAAGATTCATATACCCAAATATTTAATCACCTCACAAATATAATAATTTTTGTTCTCTATTATTCAGTCGGTTTGCCAAAGAGATAATGTATTTAACTTATCAGAAAATGAAAATTGACCTTATGGAATTGACAACACAACAAGGTTGCTTCACAAAAAATATTTCTAAAAGAATTGCAACATCAATGTCAGCAACACTGATTCATATGAACTGAAATGGAAAGTTTTTAGTCCATATACACAACAATTTCAATCAAGCCTGAACTAGCCAAATAAATAATGAAATTGCTGTACTTTATGATATAATTAAATAAACAGCGGAGCTAAAACTATACATTTGAAAATAACTTGTTCTCAAATAAAACACCTTAATAATCACTATTTTTTATTAAAAAATAACGCCCCACACAAATTTACAATAATAAAAATAATATTCAAGATACATATTTAATTATTAATGAACAAAATGTGAAGTTAAAATTCAAAGTGTAGAAATTGTGTCGTGTACAAAAAAAACTTACAACACACAAGGCAAAGTTGGCAAATATCATGATTTACATGTTATTGTTACTGAAGTGAGTTTTGAATCCCTGACGATATCAACAAAATAAACAAACCTAGAGTAGATAACACCTTCGTCAAAAGGATAGTCGCAAAAATGATTGAAGCAAAAGAAATAGACTCTTGAAAAACCAGAAAAATTATTAACGTAAGACACACAATAGTAGATCAAATTGAAGACAAACAACTGAATTGGTTCGGCCATGTGATCATGAGTTTACAATAGCAAGTCTCATCGGCCTCAGCCGCTAACTGTTATTAATAATAATGTACTTACAAAGAATTGCAGATACAAGAATACCTACCAAAGCAAATCATTGAGTGTAAGGCAGGGGAGAGAAGAAGACGCGGTGGACCTAGAACAAGCTGGACAACTGGAATAGATGAAGAAATGAGAGACGGAGGCTTGGAGGAGGTTGTCTCGATTGAAAGATATGATTGGAAATCGGGAATCGAAAGACTTAGAATGTTATAGATGGATATGTATATAAATAAGATCAGCTTGGCAAATAAGTTTGGCTTACAATAAATGTTAGAAAAGTACGTAAAAACCATGATATAGTAGTCATGTCTGGCCAGTGGTTCTGTGGCTACAGAAGGAATTCGGACGAAGTATAGTTCATTTGAAAATCCATTTTCTCATGGGGCTTACATCTCGCTATTGGCCAGGGATCCTGTAGTTTTCTCCTTTCATCTTGAAATATCGACTTATATTGTCGATTTTTATGTTCTAGTTGCAATACGATATTCGATATTATTCTTTCAAAAAAATCCGCACGCAGCCGTGTCTTTTATGAATGAAATCAGCCATTTTTTTTACAACTGCATTCCCCTCACCAATGCCTTGTAGACTCAGAATCGTTGGCCAGACATTGAGTACCCAAAGATGGTGTTTTTTGTGTGTGTAAATGGTGATAATGATATCTAACAGCATAGTGTGTCTTTCAGCACCAGTAGTAGGTTACAGTTCTCAGAAAATCGGCATGCAGATCATCTATAGACCCTTTGAGGTAGCTTTATAAGCAGGGATTCTTTGTTTTCAATTTTGTATAAAACACATGATATATATCATGCCAACCGTAAGACAATGAAAATAAAAAAATAAGAATAGAATAAATACGAAGAAAAAAGATCAGTAATCAGTCTGTCCTATACAATAATACATTAATTTCACTAACTAAAAATTCCATTAATTAATTATATGATAAAAACAAAAAAATGTGGTTTTTGTTAAGCTTGGTTGTAGGTGGACATAACAAGCTTCTTATATTCTTCCTTTTTGGTCCATTTCATAGCCGCAAGAGCATTCAAAGGGCTATCGACGTTTGGTTCTCCTAAATTAAATAATAGGTTATTAAAAGATAGGAAAGTACTAGAGTCAGCCACTGAAGCTCAAAAATTCTCCTCGAAACAAGTCAAAACTGTAGAAAGTTGAATCTTCCATATTTTTAATGGATAAAGACAGTATGAAATTTAATTTTTGATCCTCCAGTGCCCCTCACAAATCTCATTTCACAATGCTTGAGATAATATTATTTACCTAATAACGCCTGAATAGACAACAAAATTGTCCTGACATCATACAAAGCTGACCATTTATCCTTCAAAATATCCAAGCATATATTCCCACTGGTATCAATGTTAGGATGGAAACAAGGGGTGATGAATTTGACGACAGGCGCTGTGTAGGGGTAGGAATTTGGGAAGTGGAAACTCAATTTAAACTTCAATGACTCGTAAACAGAATCCTGTGGTCCAGATATAGTACCGATCCATTTGAAGAGGTTTTCTCCATCGGGGAAAGCTGAAATACTTTTATCAGGCGATGTCATTAGGAACATTAGTTCTTTGTGTAACCTGAAAAAAAGAGATTTACAGATTAAACTACTTCTGTATCGAACAAATTATATAGAATCTGTCAGATTCTTTAGTTAAACAGCAAAAGGAAAAAGTTGAAAATTTAAAGGATACAGTCTCAAGGGATTTCAGAATAATACTAAAGAATGATGTCACTCAAATTTTCTCTGCTTTAATTACACATATAAAATCAAATAAGTATAAAGTAGTTTATAAAAAGAACCAAAAAAAATAAATAAATAAATAAAAACAAGTAAATAAAATAACAAATTAACTATAAATAAAAAATCTCTTCCAAATCAGTTCTCACAGGCAAAGTGTTAAGGATTGAGGCTGAATTTCCCCTTTGGATAGCGAGGCAATGATTAATTAAATGTAAAAAAAAACAACCTCATGACATTCAAATTTATTCACAATGATCAGTATCAACGTCAATAAGTTTTCTGAATGGAAGAGGATATCGGGAACATGAAATTTTGACAGTTTACTGTATTTTTGATGTGTAAACATTCTTGTCGGCGGTATGAGGGTAAATCTCGGGAAATGGGAACGGAAGTGTGAAAGCGAATGTGACATGCGCAGTGATTAGTGCGCAGCTTATTCAGCGCGGCCTAAGGTGTCATTAGATTTTCATATCGATGATGTCGATATAGAAAATCGCTGTAAATTCGTGCAGTGAATCATGATGCCCATATATTCCTCAAGTAAAACTATTTTGCACTAAATCGAATATTTACAATCGTCGTAAAATATTTCCATTTTTAATTGAAAAAAAAAAAACACACACACACTCTGGTCCTGATACATGTAGGTATATTTGAAAGATAAAAATACTGGACAAGTAAGGTGTAACCATTCCCTTGCTAGGTGATATTTTAGGTGGAGAATTTTGGATCTCTGAAATTGGGATGTCCATAAGCCAGTTAAGTGAAAGGATAGGCGTGGTGGAAACGAAACAGAACCCTAACCTAAAGTTATTGTCCGCCTACTGAGAAGGCCCTAAAAAACCAACGAGATGTTTACACATCAGTGCCTCGAGTACTAGCAGACGCGCTCATTTGTTATACTAGAGACAGCAAGTCTTATGCACAAAAAACCTTACGATCAAAGATAGATAAATAGATAATTATTTATTCCCATAACACTTCAAATGAAACATAAGATGTTACATTGCAGCCCAAAAAGGCGTGGAACATTGTTAAAAAAGAGATTCAAGCAAAATTAAGTTTTTTTTCCCTCAAATATACTACATATCAAAATAGTCTAGGGAACAATAACTATCTGTCTTTGAATTTTGAGACAAAACAACTTTTTATAAAGATAAGGTGGGTATTATTTATTAAACAAATATTATCAAATTTACCATATCCGCTTTTTCTGCAAGCTTGTTAAGTCCAAATATTTTGTAAATCAAATCAGAAAAAAAATTGTGATGAGTAAAGGTATTATTCTTGTTCCCAAGAACATTTTGATGTGTGTACATATTCAGGGTGACAATTTGAAAAATAGCAATCGGGAATATCTCTTAGACAAAAAATACTATCAGGAAGATCTCAAATCTGTCAGGGGATTGGAGAGGGAACCAAAATGAGGCACTTTGTGAGTCACCCCGCCTCACCCCTTATGGGATAGCTACCCTAAATTATTTTTTTGTAAAACGAACCCTCTTTGCTATCCCTTTACAGTCATATAGTAAAATCTGCAATCATACGAATAATTTTTGAGATATAGTGTTTAAAAGTAAGCACATTTTAAAAACTAGTATATCGACTATCTCTCAGACAAAATAAATCTGACAAGTCTCGAATACACATCGACGAAACCGAATAATGTGTTTATCATAATTCTATCTGCTTCTACCTTCTGAAGGAGGACAGAGGGTAAGTTCTCATTTTGGAAAAGTTATTAGGGGCAGCTACCCCTCAAGACAATAGGGGTTGGGGTTAGGCAATAAACACATTTGGTTTCCCCGATGTGTATTTGAGACTTTTATGACAGAATTCTTTCGTCTAAGATACAGTCAAAATTACTAGTTTTCAAAATGTGCTTACTCTCAAACACCAATATCTCAAAAACTAATCGTACGATTTAAGATTGCTATGAGACTGTAAAAGGAAAGCAGCGAGCTATGCACCGATGTGCAACACAAGGTGGGTTCGCTACCCCCTAAGGGGCGAGGCGGGGTAAATCAAAAATTGCCTCATTTTGGTTCCCCCTTCGGTCCCCCGATAGGTACGTATTTGAGATCTTCCTGATATTATTTTTTGTCTAAGAGATATTCCCGATTGCTACTTTTCAAATTGTCACCCTGTATATATATATGTATAAATGAACAACGACAAGCTAGAAACAATTTATATATAAATACATATACTTTATAATATAGTTATAATTCAAACTAGTAAGTATATAAGACGAACACATGACAACGAACGAATAATCAGTGAAACAAGAACAGAGTCTCGTGAATTCTCTCCTCATGAGGCCATTCCAATGCTCAAAACAAATCCCAACTTACCAGGCAATGATTGAGCAGAATCTAATTTTAATTCGATCCATCGCGATCGTTAGAGAAATCATTCAATGAAAAACAGAGACATTCCAACATACTCCTTACACATTTGTTACTATACAGTAAGATCGTTGGGCAATACTCGAAGAGAGGCGCTATAAGAGTTTTATATACATGTATTCTTGACATGATAGATTCTTACAAATTCTACTCGAGTAATTTATTCGCTTACTGACTTTATCTGACATGCATGCAGCATTTTCACCTACCTTCAACAGCCGTGTGCAACAGCCTCCTTTAACTTAAAAGTGGTTTTAAAAACTTGGTACTTTCAAAAAAAAATGTATTCTAAGCAATACAAATTTTTGAAGGTGACAGCTTTCAAAGTTAAAAGAGGATGTTGCATACGGCTGTGAATCTTTGTCAATAATTATTAAACCTGAATATTTACATTTATTAACAAAATCTATATTTTCGTTAAACATTTTTAATTCAGGATTAATTATACTTTGTTGTAAACAACATACCCTTTGCTTTTTCAATATTAACAAATAGTTTATCATTAACATCCATTTTTCTAGTTTATTTAAAGCATTCTGCATTTTCCTTTAAACTAACTCTATTGATTCCCCTATCACAGAAATAGCTGTCTCGATATCTGTATCATCAGTGAATAAATTGTTCATTATATCTTTATCAACACATATTAACATAAACAATAAATAATAAACAACCTAGCACCATACCACTGATTACCAATTTTTACCTACTAGATAAATAACTATTAAACCATTCAGGTATTTGCCTTATCAACTTCACCATACTTTTCTAGTTTTTTGATTGATATTGACCTGTTGATAATTTCGAATGCTCTTTTAAAGTCAATAAAAACTGTCAAAGCCATTTTGTTTGAGTCCAATGTGTCTTTCCATTTAGTCACTACCAATTGAATGGCTGTTTCACACGAATTTTTTTCGACGAGACCAGAATGGTTTCCAATTAGGATTTTATGGGTCTTTACATGAGTCAGCAGCTGTTGTTTTAAGAATAACTCGAGCACCTTTTCACACAAAGGAAACGTGCTTATTGGGCGAAATTCCTCACATTTTTTTTGTATTTGCATTTGTCTGTATTGGCGACACTATCGATAATCGATACTTTCCAGGCTTCGGGCACGTCACATGTTGTAATAGACTTATTTTTAATTTTCTTAAGTTCTTTAGAAATGACACTGTTTCCCAATTTTAAGACGGTTTTTGCGATCTCATCTACTGAATTTTCCGAGGAATTTCCCATATTCAGGCTGTTAATGATATTTGCAGTATCCATTTCAGATATCAAAGAAAAAGCATTCAGCTCATTCTTCACTTCCATCTTCCCAATTTTTTTAATTTCTGGGGTTATTTCATGCCCGTTTGCGTCATTGATTATGTTTTCAATACTCTGTATAAAGAATCTGTTGAAATGTTCAGCAATATCCTGCTTTTCTATTATCTTTTCACCATTAAAATATATGTTCAGGGTGTTTCAAATTCCAGCCACATCATTGGGATCTCGGAAAGATACCGGGTCGGTTAAATTCTAGACCAAAGGACTTCATCATGTTTAACAATTTATTACTATAAAAAGAAGGCGAGTCTTTATTCATATCTATATCAAAATCTCCCACAGGTTTATACAATTCAATGTTATTTGACAGTTATCTGACATCAAGAATCCAAATTGTGGAGGTGGAGGGAGCAAGGTCTGAGCCTGTCCTCGTGACGCGTGGGGTCCCCCAAGGCAGCATATTAGGCCCTTTATTATTTAATTTTTACACCTCTGACTTGCCTAGCCAGGTCGGGTTTTGCTCGGTCCACCTCTACGCGGATGACACGCAGCTTTTGGCCGCGTTTCCCCCGGAGGAATCCAGCGCTGCTATGAATGAAATTAATAAAGATCTGAACAAAATATACAAATGGTCTATCAGTAATGGATTGCTCTTGAACACGTCAAAGTGCGTGCATTTAATATGTGGTTCAAAGGCTGGTAGGAATCGGTTTGATTTGTATAACTTCACAATTCTTAATGTCAATGGGTTGGTGATTCCGTACGCCGAGAACGCTAGAAACTTGGGATTAATAATCGACAGTGACTTAAGCTTCAGTGTTCATATATCCAAAAAACTGTCGTTAGTCTATCTTAAACTAAAATCCTTATATGCATTTAAGTATTTACTACCATGTAGTACAAAAATGATGCTGATTGAATCATTAATTTACCCTCACTTGGATTACTGTAGTGTTGTTTACTTCAGCTTCTTGACAAAAGAACTGAGAAATAAAATTCAGTTAGCCCAAAATTCTTGTCTACGATTTGTCTCTTGTACTGGTAAATTTGATCATATCACCCCAATTTACATGCAGTATAAACACTTGAGGTTTGAGTCGCGTGTCTCTCTGCATTTTGCTGTTTTTCTTTATAAGATTTTTAAGAGTAATTGCCCTGG